GCGGCAGACAGGCTACTGGGCTAGATGGACCTTTGGTCTGACCCAGTACGGCCGTTCTTATGTTCTTATGTTCTAAGCTCAGGGCTCAGGTTCAGGGGTCTCACTGGACCACCTTGATTTTCATGCAAACCTGCTCCTGGGTTTGCATGTGACCTTTGGTGGCCAGGCTGGCAGCTATCCTGCCCTAGACGGCCACTTTCCTGTGCCTAGTGCGGAGGTTGTGGATGTTGGAGGCCTCCCCCACACCTCCGATGAGGTCCACGATCTCCACACTAGACAAGGCGGGTGCCTGCCTCTTGCGGCCCCGGGCAGGCACCTTGGAGCCTCCAGCCTGGTCCTGGGAAGAGGCGGAGGGTTAGGTGGCAGCGGGTGGCTGGCTCATGCTGTGCCAGGTGCAGGGTCTGGCTGAGTGCTGGCAGGCTTGCACCTGGCATGGGGACCGTAGCCAGACCATGCCCCTTTAAGGGCTCCGGGGCCAGGAGGGGGGCAGAAGAGATTCCCTGGTTGTGCCCAGAGTGGCCACCAGGGCAAGCTGGGGAGGGCTAGCCTCCCACTAGTTCGAATTAAGGGGCTAGACAGCCCTTAATTCGAACTAGGCGTTAGTCCTCGTGGAATGAGGTTTCCCTAGTTCGAATTAAGTGCTCCCCTAGTTTAAATGAAGTTCGAACTAGCGGTTTGCATGTGTAGCGCCTAGGCAGCGGTTGCTAGTTCGAATTAACTTTGTAGTGTGGACATACCCCAACTTTTCCTGGGCAGAGATGATACCCGCAGACTTCGGGAGAGAGCAGGACACAGGATGCTTTGGTGTAGCTGCTGCTTAAGACTTCCCCCTGCCGTCAGTGTCTCCTGCGCCAGCGCTGACAAGCCCTTGGCACGTCGGGGGAGTGTGTGTGAGGGGGCCATGACCCATGGATTGATGGGTGTCAGGCAGGCGAGGGGCAGAGGCTAGCACATGTCCCTTGGTCCGGTTAGCGTGTGGGCTGGGGAGAGCCCTGTGTGACCCTAGACTCATAGAGCCCGAGGGAGAAGGGGACCAAGGGTCCGCTAGTCTGACTCCTGCCACCATCTTGGGTTGGCCGTGTCCCAGCCAGATGCTCTAAGCAGGGCGACCGAAGGGGGGAGAGCATGCTCAGGGCGGCGCTGAGGGCTGGCTGGGGGGTACCACCCCTGCCACGCAAGGCCCCACCCTTTCCAACGCTAAATGACGTTTCCCCTTTTGCCCGGCAGCCTTGCGAGGGTCTGAGGGTTGCTGTCCTGTGCCCCGCTCCCGTATTCTCCTCTTTTCCAAACTAACCCCCCCCCCAGGTCCTTCCTGGGGGCCATCCCTTGGATCGTCTTTGTCTCTCGCCTCTGGATCGTCTCCAGTTTCTCTACAGTCCAGGGGTGGGGAATCTTAGGCCCGGGGCCCCCAGACTTGCCTGGAACCAGCCCCCTTCTCCCTGGTGTGCGGCCCCTGACTCATTTTCTCCACCCCTGCTCTACACTCTTCCTACACAATGGTGGCCAAACTGGCCCCCAGCACTCCAGCCGGGGTCTAACCAGTGGGGAGTACTGTCCCCACCCGCGTCTCGCTTGCTACGCCGCTGTTCATACCCCTCGCCTTGCATTGGCGTTTTTCGCAACCGCATGGCATTGCTGGCTCGTGACCCACCCCACCTCCCAGACCCTGCGTCACGCCAGCTCCTAGGCCCACGGACAGGAGCGGGGCTGGTCCAGTTGTCGGCACTGGAAAGCCTCCTAGAGATGCAGCCTAGGCCAGGCACCGATGTCCTTCTCCAGCATCGCTCCTGCCATCCGAATAACTACCCGCACCAGAGCGTGCCGGTGCCCGCCCCAATTTGTCTACACTGGGATTTTGGCTGGCTCCACTCTGGGGGAGGGGGTGTGCAGGATTTTTTTCACACACCTCCACAGCCTAGGCCCAGCCGGGAGGACAGCCCCTTCTCCAAGAGCTTTCTCTCAAGCGCGACAGGACAGGGCGGGAGAGAAAGGCCACTTTGTACAGGGAGCCCTGAGGTGGGCACCCAAAGCCTGGGGGAGTCAGACCAGCCCCTTCCCCCGGCCTCCAAGACCAAAGGCCGCCAGTTCCCTGAGCCCCGTGCTCCTGCTTCACCGCCTGGAAGGATTCGCAGCAGCAATGAAACGAGGCGGGCGCCGGCCTCATGTAGGGCGCTGAGAACTTGGGCTTCCCGGGGAGCGCAGGCCTGCAGAGAGGTCAGAAGCGGGGTGCAGAACCAGGGCTGCTGGGTCTCCCCATCTTAGCCCCGGCTGTGCGGATATTGGGGGGGTCTGCAAACGCCAGCTGCTGGAGTCATGTGGGGAGGTGAACATTTCAGCTTTTGTCTCACAGACAGTGGGCTGTTCCCAGCCTGCTCTGGGGCAAGAGACAAGCTGGAAACCGTGACGCTCCCGGGTTCGGGAACCAAAAGGCAAAGGAAAGGGGCCCTGGGGGCCCTGTTGTTAAAATCGGATGATGTCGAAGCCAATCTCATAACTTTCAGGGAGGGGAGGGGGGAGCTGACTTGCAATGTTTGCATATCAGCACAGAATCCAGGGCGGGCAGAGCCCTCAGGAGTCACCGAGTGCAGCCCCCTGCCCAATCATCCCAGCCAGGGCTTGGTCAAGCAGGGACTTAGAAACCTCTAGGGATGGAGATTCCACCCCCTCCCTAGGGAACCCAGCCCTGCGCTTCCCCACCCACCTAGGGAAATCGTTTTTATATCCATCCTAAACCTGCCCCACATCAACTTGAGCCCATTGCTCCTTGTTCTGCATCTGTCACCACTGAGAACAGCCTCTCTCCATCCTCTTTGGAACCCCCCTTCAGGAAGTCGCAGGCTGCTCTCAAATCCCCCCTCACTCTTCTCTTCCGCAGACTCAGCAAACCCAACTCCCACAGCCGTGGGCATCTCAGCCTGGCGAGCGGGCTGTAGGGGAGGGGCGTATTGGTCGCAAGCCCGTGTCCTTCAGCTGGTTGCTTTCCAGCTCTGTGAGTCAGAGGAAAGGACTCAACCTTGTGCGGCATCCCCCCACCCCACCCGTCTCTCCCCAGCCATATTCAGGGACTACAAATTCCCCCTTCAGTCAGCCCCCTGCCCCCTGCAGGGCAGAAGGGATCAGGACCACCTCTTCCTCTACCCCCTTCCATGTCCAGCTGCCTGTCTCTGTTTCCCTAGGCGGGTGGGGAAGCGCTGGGCTGGGTTCCCTAGGGAGGGGGTGGAATCTCCATCCCTAGAGGTGTTTAAGTCCCGGCTTGACCAAGCCCTGGCTGGGATGATGGAGTTGGGTTGGTCCTGCTTTGGGCAGGGGGCTGGACTTGATGACTCCTGAGGTCTCTGCCCGCCCTGGGATTCTATGACTCAATGAAATTCCTTCCTGACCCTGGCAAGCTGAAGCCCTGAAGCATGAGAGTAGATTACAGCCATGACCTTAGTGGAGCTCTGCAAGTGCCAGCCGTTGCTGGGGGGCAATGCAAGCCATCCTGTTCTCCCCACAGGGAAGGCAGGCAGAGAACAAACAGGGAGACGCACGGATTCACAGCCTCCAAGCCCACCACTCGTTCTGTGTGCTCCTCTTTGCAGGCCTGGCAGCTCAGAGAGGCAAAGAAGCAGACGAGGGGCGAGGGACTGGGCATGGTGTGGGAGGGGAGACCGGCCGCCTCCCGATACAGCGACTTTAGAAAACGTTACTGATGAACCGAGCGGCCCAGACGGCGGCAACTCCATTTTGTGGCCTGTTGGGTGGCCAATCGACCAGCCTAGCGGCTCGAACACGGGGACTGAGGAGGCCACGCTCCTTAGAGAACACAGGGGACAAACCAGCCTCTGAGTGAGCCCCCCGAGTCCCTCCCTGCTGCCCCCAACCCCCAGGATTCCCCGTGCACAGAGACACAGGGACTGTCGGCAAGCGCAGGGTGGGTTTTATTGGACTGTTACAGCCATTGGTGCCCCGAGGGGCCTTTCCACGCGCGCCACGCCGGTGTGCCTGGACCGAGGCCGGCTCTCTCCCTCCCGCGGGGCGCTGCGGGGGCTCAGTGGTACTGGTGGGCCAGCGCGTGGGCCACCACGCCCACCAGCTTCTGCCAGGCGGCCTGGCAGGCCGGAGTGAACTCCTTCCCGAAGTGGGAGGCCAGGACGATCACCAGGATGTCGCCCAGGAGCTGTGGGGGAGAAGGAAGAAAACGGCCTTTTGAATTCTGCACCCCAGTGTGGGGCGTGTCCCTTCCCCCGCCCCCCGGCCCATTCCCCCTTTCTCTCTCTGCGCACACGCGGAGGCCAGCCTGGGCCTTGGCTCGGGGGGACAAGAGCCGGTCGAAGGGTTTCTGGCCCCTCTCGGGCTT